CAAGCCAAGCCAACCCAAGCCAACCCAAACCCAAGCCAATTCAAACCGAAGGCAATGAATAAAAGGAAACGAAAAAACTGAGTGTTGAAAAATGTTTTCATCTGACGAAATTAATGTCAGGACTTTCTGTGCGGTTGTTGTTGCAGAGTGATGAATAAGCAGAATTTGACTTGCGCTTTCCCAAGTGCAGAGATCGCTAAGCTTGGCAGTTTGCAGTGGCTTGAACTGCGAAATAATTCGATCTCCGGTACAGTGGACTGGGCTCTGCTGGCAAACAGCCTCCAAAATATCTCGGTAGGTGGATGGTGGGCTGATAATGAAATTGCATCCCAAATAATAAATTAATTAATGATTAGTAATCTAAATGGCAAATACAGCCATCTGCTCCAATATGTCAAACCAAGCCACTTCGTCAATCCTCACGTTTAGCTGAAGTGGAATCATGCAATCATCCTTATGCACTCACACACCCAGCGGAGCACAATGTGTGCTGCAATGAGCCTGTGTGTGTGTGTGTGTGTGTGTGTGTGTGTGTGAGAGAGAGAGAGAGAGAGAGAGAGACCATTGGTTTCGCTTGTTGCGTGTTTCCAAAGTTCGTGATGATGTGTGGCTGTGGAATCAGGTTAAGAAAAATCTATAAATAGTCCGGCCAGGTCAGAAATGTCAAGAAGATAGCTGGGTCAGAGTGCATGTGGGTGTCCGGATGGCCGGGTGCTTGATCTGCACCCGGACGTATAGCTGGCCAGATGCATTCTGATTGGGACCTTTTGTCCTTCCAGAATTTGGGGGGGCTATTTCTGTTTTCCGTCCTAAGTTTTAGGCAAAATGAACGGTTCTCAGTGTGCCTCTTTCTGTCTGCTCTTTTCGTCATTTGTTTCGTAAAGTGCACTCTTTCAGTTGATTGATATATGATCATATGTGGCAATATTATGATAAATACACATCGGCTCTCTTTGCTCACATCTGGCCTTTCTGTGCGGCCGCGTGCAATTGCTGAGGAGGAGACGTTACAAAATGTTGCACTTGCCCGAATGCACTTGATCTAGAAATCGTCCAAATGCATGTGTAGTGGAGCGAGGCCCAGCGTAACTACCAGCCAGCCAATAATGCTTGCTTCTATCGCTCTGTCATTTTTTGATGATCAGGACTTGCCACTGGTGCCAGTCAATCTCTTACCAGTCTGCTGGCAGGCTGTGAATGTCTGATGTTATTCCATAAGCCTTTCGGAGTTGCTTACACTGAAAATGCTAAACCACCCCCGCCTTCAATCTATGGGCTGATGGAAAAAGAGGCCACGCTTTGGATGAACCAGCCCGCCGGCCCTGGTAGATTCATTCATGCAAACTGCTAATATCTGACGGGGTCCAACAGAAGGCCTCTACCGTCTTCACCCGAATAGAACGCCCAGTCACTATCGCTGCATCTGGACGGAAAGTTGTGCCAAATGCAGCTATAATGACCGGGCGTTCTATTCGGGTGAAGACGGTAGTCATTGGTGGTTTAAGCAATTGATTGCTTTGCAGGTGTGCCTGGGAAAGTGGATTGCTGCTGTTTTCATCTGATCCATTCTTGTCTGCCAAGGTCTGACAGGCTCTGACAGGCTCTGACAGGCTCTGACTCCGACAGGATCTGACCGGCTGCTGGCTGTGCATTCTTGATGATATCTCAGCATGTGTTTGGAAGTTGTTTATGATGATGACCACAGATATTTGGTGGTAGGTGGTGCCGAGAGCATCCTTTGTTGTGCATGTAATTGCCCCACGTGAACGTGAGATGTTTTTTTTTTTTTTTTTTTTTTTTTTTTTAGATGAATGACTGGGTGCCATCTGCTGTGCATCCACTAATTAGTCATATTGCCTGCTCTGTCTGACCGGTGCAGCGTGTAGATCTTGCATACAACCAAATTGGGGGGGTCATTTCTTGTGACCTACAGAAACGCGCTCTTGAGCATCTTGATCTTGGGCATAATCAGGTGAGGTTGTCGCTGGCATTCGTCGCATCGTTCATTTCGGTGTATTCAGTTTTGCTTGTCTTTTTAAACGCAGCTCGTTGTCTATGGGGAAGTGTCAGTTTTGCTTGTCTTTTGAAAACGAAGCTCTTTCTATACAGGGGAGCGTCAGTTTTGCTAGTCTTTGATTGTCGTAAGGCAAGAAGAACGGAAGGCAGTTTTTGCCACTTTTTGGCACTTTTTGCAATCCCCTACACCCTTTTTTTTTTTTTTTTTTTTTTTTTGAGAGAGAAAACGCCAGCGATGTTGTTGTAGGAGTGATACGAGCATCTCCTTCTATCAGACCCGCACCTGTTACTTCAAAGTTGCAAAAAATTACTTCAGAACTTCAGCAGAAGTAGAAAATAAACTTCAGAAAAAGAGACAAACACTCTTTTGTCTCTATCATTCTTTCCACAGGATATGAATCTTGAGCCATTTATCAGAAGTGCATGACTTTGTTTGGTATTTGACACTATTTGTACTACCTGCCATCTTCTCCTGAAGAGAGCACCCGGTAATTATAGCTGTATTCGGGCCGCAACTTTTGGCCTAGACACAGTGATAATGGCTGCGAGTTCTGTTTGGGTGAAGACAGTAGTACCATCAATTTGAAGGTACAAACAGGTTGTGTTATTCTCCGATCTCTCTTTCTTTCCTTCCCACCACCTACCTCTTGCCTCGTTCTTTACTCTCCTCCTCCTCTTGATCAGTACCATCACCCCATTGTCAAGTGGCAAAGGTGGTATGCTCGACCACCTGAGCTACGTGGGCTCACGGGGACATTGGAGACGATCGGACTTGAACCTAACAACGACCGTAGCAATGCTCGTCCTGTCCTTTGTCTCACTTACTGGAGGTCCTTGGTGATGGGGAGGAGGGATGCTGCGCACTAATCTCTACGTTGAGGGGGGTTTGTCATTGCCAAATGAAGGTGTTGTCCGGGCCCAAGTGATTTATGCACTTATTTGTTTTTTGCTGTGTGCTGACGTGCTGTGTGAAAAAGAAATAAAGAAAGAGGCGATTGAACGGAAAAGGGAGGAAAAGAAAAAGAGAAAAAGGGGACAAAAAAGAATGTTGCACCAAAAAGCAAACTAAAAGAAAAGGAAAGAAGAGGGACTACGAAAATGTGGGTTGAGTCGGTTGACTAAAAAAAAAAAAAAAAAAAAAAAAAAAAGAAAGTTGGTTGACTGGGAGAAAACCGGGGGGGAGGGGAAATGCGTAAGAAAAGAAGCAGAGGCGTTAAAGAAATGGAAACAAAGAAAGACAATGCAGAGGAAAAAGAGCAAAGAATGAGAAAATATGTTGGTTGATTAGGCTGACAACCGAGGGAAAATGTGAGAGAAAAGAATTTGGCAGATGGTGAAAGGTCTGTTGGGGTGAATTTTGTTTTGGAGTAAAATATATGAAGGGTCTTGCTGGAGAGAAGAAAGGAAAGGGAGGGAGGGGAGGGCAGTGGAATTGTAATCATGAGTTTGCTATATGCTCTTCTAGACTTACATTTTGGAGGATGTTGAAGTCGTATGGTAGGAAAGAGTGAAAGGAGAGAGACCGGGGGAAGAAGATACTGAAAACCATGTGTGGTGAGCGTAGCAATGGCAGGCAGTCCCAATCTGCATGTCGTTGGCTGACCTGCGCACATGGGGGTAAGAGGATTCTCCTTTCTCTCCCCTGGATATCCCCTCTACCCCTCACACCGCTTATGACCACCCAGCCTCCTTCAATCCCTCAGCCTCTCAACCCCTCAACCCCTCAACCCCCCAACCCCTCAACCCCYCAACCCCCCACCCCCCAACCCCCAACCCCTCAACCCCTCAACTCCTGAAGCCCTGAACCCCTCAACCCTCAATCCTTCAACCCCTCAATCCCTGAACCTCTGAACCCCTGAAACCCTGGCCCCTAAACCCCTGAACGAACCCCTGAACGAACCCCTGAACGAACCCCTGAACCTCTCAATCCCTCAATCCCTCAACCCCTCAACTCCTCAACCCGTCAACCCGTCAACCCGTCAACCCGTCAACCCCGCAAACCCCGACACCCCTGAACCCTGAAGTCCCGAAGCCCTGAAGCCCTGAACCGCTGAACCCCTGAACCCCGCAACAATTTAATCCCCTGCCCCGCAGGATATGACACCGCAAATTTTTGTTGTATGCATCTGCATGTCTGTACTGATGCATCTGATCTGCGTGTGAGCTGCAAATCAGTGGATTGTGTGTACTGTGGACACGAAATCCACACTATGATAGTGTTCGTGCTCAAGGGATGGAAAGGGGAAAAGGAAGAAGGGTGCAGAAAACGTACAACGGGCTGGGAAATTTGTCTGACGTAGTAAGTCTCAGAACATCCTGAGATGGACGGATGGGAAGACGAGTGAGATAGGGAATGGTGATGGGACTTAAGTGGTTCCAAAATTTAGGCAAAAGGGGACATGGCACCGAAGTCCCACAGGTCTTCTTCTTCTTGCTATAACCCATCACTCTGCTCCACATTGGGTAATGAAGCAGTGAAGGCGTGTGAGTCGGCAGACTGATGATGGCCGCCAACTCTCCAAGCATCGTCAATTTCTCTACAGGCTTATCCGGGGCACCTCTCAGAGACCTCCAAATGTGCCCACTACGGACGCTGCTATGGAGCACAAAAGCTTTGATTGGGGTAATAAGGGGTGGCCTCTGAAATCCCCTGAAACTGGATCTCTTCTTCATTGGCTGGGTGGATCATTGTCACGTTATGAACCGATAATACTTCAACAACTTCGCAACCGATTGTAGAAGACACACAGGAAAACACAGAACGTGGTGAAATGGGATCCACTCCTGGATCTGCTTGTGGCTTTGAAGTTTGAAGTTATGTAAACACCACACGACCGTCCCCTTGACATGCAAAACCATTTGCCGGTTGAACAGCTCTGTCCGGTTTTCTCGGCGCTTGTGATAGAGTTACTGCCGCCATTTACTGAGGCTTCCATTTCGAAGCTGGCTTCAAAATGTAATGGTGGCCTAACTCTTGGACCTGTTGGTGCCTTAAATACTGGGTTAGTAGTCTCTGCCTGAACTGTGAGGAAAGGGGTTTGGGGGAGAGGTGGACAATGAGGCAGGCAGATGAGCAGGGCGATGATGAGAAGTAGGAACAGGAGGGGAGGATGAAGGCAGAGGAGGAGGAGGAGGAGGAGGAAGGAGGAGGAGGAGGAGGAGGAGGAGGAGGAGGAGCTGTAGGAGGATGAGGTCGAAGGGGAGCAGTGCGCTGAATGACGAGGATGACACTGGTTTATATGCCTCCTTTGTTTCTTTCTCATATGCCCCCTTTCCCCCTTCAGTCCTATGGGTGAAGCTAGCGCTATTGGTCTGCCTGCAGCCGGAGCCTTGGTTGTTAAACATATGCTTAGGCATTTATTATTGCTGTTTAATATTGCCATAGCAGTACTAAAGACATTGGTTTCTCTACTTTCTTGTTGTCATTTTCCAGTTTGAAGGACCGCTGCCAATGTGCTTGGCGGGTGTTGCAGGGGTTGGCGTATTCAATGTTGGTAACAACAGGTAATCAACACCATAAGCAGGTTTCATTGTCGGCCTCATTCCTTCATCCCAGACTAACACCTTTACGGTGTCTGTATCTAGGAAAAGAAAACGAACTGTTTTTGGGTCAAGCACTGCGTTTTTTTGGTCCAATTCGTCCCTCTTCCCAACCATGCACCTGGCTTCCTCGTAATTCTTCCTCGTAATTCTTCACCATCCATGGGCAGTGGATTTGGGAGTACAGGGGGTTCCTCTCGTTGAAGGAATACTTTTTTTTTTTTCTTTTTTTTTTTCATTGAAGGAATGCTAAAGCAGTTGTGAATTGCTGGTATTGGCTTCATGCGTGTGAACCTGTGCTCGTGAGAATAAGTGAAATGAGTGCTACCCTTTTTCTTACAAGAAAGCAAAGAGTGTTTGCTTCCGTTTTCCTTACAGGAACGCAAAGAAGCCAGTCAAATTGTGGTCTGGCTAATTGTAAACCACGTAAAGAGATTTTTCCAAGAGAATGGATGCCGTAGTACAGTGTCATGGACCATGCTTGGCATGGCATTGTCAGCTTAGTATGAGTGTTTCACACCTCAGTGTCAACCCCAAAACCATGAAATGTCCCAAATTGGCTGAAAAGCCACGAAAACAGCGAAAGTTGCAAATCCAATTTGAACCAAATGATTACTGCAACGGCAAAAAGCTCAATATCTTGCCCTTCAGTCATGTATTCCGAAAGGAAAGGAAGTGCATCGCTTAGGTTCTGAATGACGTATATATGTGTGTACATGTATACAGGTTCTGAGTTGAACAACGTATGTGTGTGTACATGTATACTTACCTTTGTTAATACTCTGTGTGTGTGTGTGTGTGTGTGTGTGTGTGTGTGTGCAGGCTGAATGGGAGTATCCTGGATTCCAACAAAACGACAAAATTGGCTCCCACGTTACGTCGTTTCGTGATTTCATCGAACGAGATTGAAGGGTCCTTGACACAGGACTGGGGTGCACTCAAGGACTTGATTGTGCTGAGAGTTGACAACAATCAACTTACCGGCGACATCCCTGGAAATCTTTTCCAACCTGCACTTGTTGAGCTGGATATCACCAATAATAAGTAAGCAATCACTGTCCAACCGTCTGCACAGGTCTTTCTTGCTCCCATGGTTTTTATGTTGCTGACATGGTCTGCATTGCTCCCATAGTTTTTATGTTGCTGACATGGTCTGCATTGCTCCCATAGTCTTTATGTTGCTTACATGGTCTGCAATGCTCCCATAGTCTTTATGTTGCTGACATGGTCTGCAATGTTACTGCACTGGAGACGAAAGCACACCATTCATTTAGCACACTCGACTCCCTCCTTTGCTCCTGCTTAATGGCGGAAAGTACATGAACTCCTAATGTAATCCAATGACACGAGGAGGCAGGACGTTGTCCATCTTTGAGCAGTAGAATATCAAAGCATGAAGCCTTCCAGCCTGCTAATATAGCAGGGCTCTGTGGCAGGTAGCTTGACGAGGATTCGAGTTTCAGTAGAAGAGTGTCAAGAGAGGAATATGCACACACAGGCAGGACCCATTTTCTAGAATCGTCCAGAAGAACACAGTACAGATGGTTGCAGCAGCGCCTGTGGCAGCCAGCCAGGCCATGTGGAGTCCCCACCCGACAGACCTATGCTCATCCACAGTTTTGCCCGCTGGTCTCAAACATAGGAGGCCTCTGTGGCAGGTAGTTTGATGAGGATTCGGGTTTCAGTAGAAGAGTGTCAGGAGCGGAACATGCACACAGGCAGGACCCATTTTCTAGGATCGCCCAGAAGAACACCAGTACAGATGGCTGAAGCAGAGCCAGTGCCAGCCAGCTACGTGGAGTCCCCACCCGGCAGACCTATCCTCACCCGCAGTTTTGCCCGCTGGTCCCAGGAAATGAAGAATTTCCGTGTGGCAGCTCGTGGGGGGAGTGCCATCGTCCATGAAGCTTGCTGCCACATGAGCTCAGCCACGGTGATGCTTTTTAAATGTGGAGATGGGTGCGGCTGTAGCTTGGCCGCTGTACAATTTTGGCGGAATGGGAGGGTGATGAGGGCTTAGTGTGGCTCTGAATCTTTGCAGGAAGCTGAATTTTTGGCACGTTTACCTTGGGAGGGAATTATAGCGGGGCTAAGCACTTCGTCCCCCGGGGGAACTGTGTGCAGGACTACGTAAGTGTACACCCTGTGTGCATGCATCCCTCGTGCCGTATGCACGGTGCATTGCTTGACCATGCACTATGTGCAATTTGTGATGTGCCTGTATTGTTACCCTGTCAGCTTGAAAAACAACATACAATATATGTGTGTATTGCTGTTGGTATGGTGAGAGTCATTTTGCAAAGCAAGGTCTGCTGATCATTGGTGGCAAGGATGATGGTTGGCGGTTGATGGTGCTATTTTTCTGCCAGTGTGCTATTCTGTTGACATGGCTGTGAATTTGTGTTCACTCTGGTCTCTTCTCGATGATTATGCGGCATCACAGCTTCACAGGAGTGCTCCCACGGAATCTATCTGCTGCTCAGAAAATCGAGGTGCTGGCTTTGGGGCATAACCCCTCGCTGAGAGGGAACTTACCACCGAATATAACCGGGGTCTCTAATCTGTTAAGCTTGAGGTAAAACAACTGAATCAAACTGATGCTTTCAGTATCCTATGACCTGACCAGCTGTTGACCCACCTTTTTTTTTCTTCTCCAAAGCGGAAGAAGCCTCCCCATCCCATCCCCCCACAGCCCCCCCCCCCCCCCCCCCCCCCCCCTCCCTGGGCCATAAGGCCCTAAATTGAAAAAGAAGGGGGAAAGCCACAAAGTTACAAACACTGTTCTGTCCAGTAGGGTTTTCAACCGTTGATCAGATTGATCTGTTTGTTAACTGGTGCATGTGAATACCATGCAGCCATGAGGCAGGTACAACCTGTCAGCCCTATGATACAAGACCCCGTCCAAGAAGCAAGATAGGAACGTATGTTCTGTTCGCCGACTTCCGGAATTGTAGTTGTACCATTCGATCCTTCTCGGGCGACTGTTTTAGGTCCGATAGCAATCGGCAAATGGGAGACAGACAGGCCCATCTGATCTAAAGTTAGAATCTATACCACCGGAGCAGTCTTGGCCTACACCTGGCTCTTTGCTTCTCTCGTGTTCTTTTTTTTAATAAGAAAGAATAATAATATGAAGAGCTACCCCCGAAAAAGATTTGAGCTGTGTATGAATCCTGGCTCTTTGCCATTGTAAGCTAATGCCATCAGCTTGCAAGTTTTCATTCTCAGATCCATTAGTGGAGGTTTAGCGCCCCATGCCCATGCCACGTAAGTACCTTGTGATGAGACTAAGTTGCTATAACCAATATGCCTATGCCTAATCCCTCTGATTATCCATGTGATGACTGTATACATCCCCTTAAATCTACAGCCATAAGCCTTAGATAGTTGTATAGATATAGACCATGTACAGTCTGAAATTCTGCAAGTCTGAAATTATCACTTAAGGCAAGCAAACTGGCCAATCTGCTTCGCAGCGAGTTGTGGGGAGCTTCCTGAAACTCAGGGTCTCTGTCCTTTCTCTCCCTCTCCTATTCCTTTCTAATTCTCCCCCTCTCTGCATCACACTCTTTCCACTTCCCTCTTCGTACCCTCCTTTTTTTTTGAAAAAAAAAAAGAAAAAGGGCAATGGCATTGAGGTATCATCATTGGGCTGGCCAGCCTCAAGTAACGTAAGAGTTAAATTTTCACTGATCCTCAGTAGGCAAGGAAACTGGCAAATCTGCTTCGCTGTGGGTTATAGTGAGCTTCCTGAAACTTAGCATCTCTGTCTTTTCTCTCCCTCTCCCGTTCCTTTCTAGTTCTCTTCCTCTCTGGCGTCACACTCTTTCCACTTCCCTCTTCGTACCCTTCCTTTTTCTTTAAAAAAATACTTAAAAAAAGGCAACGGCCTTGAGGTATCGTCATGAAGCTGACCAGCCTCAGGTAACTCAAGAGGTATTTTATTCCTCTGCGTCTATCAGGATTCGAACATAGGTCAGTTTGTCAACTGTCCAGGGATGTACCATGCAGCCACATGGGCTCCGTCTTCCTACCCTCCTCTATTCTTGTCTCACTCTTTTTTCTCTGTTTCCCTTTCTCTCCCTCTTTTGCTTCCTGTTTTTCAACTCACTCCGTTGGCCCTCTGATGCAGACTTATAGAGAGTGGAAGTCCTGTGTTGAGGCTGTTTGTAGGTGTGAAATGGCACAAAACGAAAGGCAAATGAATTTTAATGAACTCGTTATCCTACGCAAGGAATCGGCATTATAGTTTAAATCCCTTTTTCAGGACAGATTCTCTCCCTCTCTCTACGTTTATTGCTTTCTAAAAAGGCCTCTCCGCAGAAAGGATGATTGGCATGCCTTATCCCTACTTGCAAGCTTCCCTGTCTCTGGTTTGTTGCACCAGAGAGAGAGAGAGAGAGAGAGAGAGAGAGAGAGAGAGAGAGAGAGAGAGAGAGAGAGA